TTCATCAATGAACCTTTAGCTACTGGCTTCCAATGGCTTGCAAAGTTGAAAGATGTAATGAAACATCTAGTTATGAGTAATCGTTGCGGAATTTATGTAATCCAAAGATTTGACTAAGACTACATTAGATTCAATTGAAGTAAGATTTTGTATGGATGCCAGCCCATGGAATAAACGATAAAAATTCCTACAATCCAGGAAACGATGTCCGTAAATATTTACACCCGAATAATAGATTTCAGTCCATGTTATGAAAATTCACCCACAACAATTGCTACCACACTCTATAATCATCAACATCATGTGCTAAAAAGGGACTGAATTCCAAATGTAATTTGGAGAATTCTAGCGGAAATTTGTGACCATGTTGGTTGTAAGATAAGCATCACCACTGAGAATCGAAGATAATTGTGCAATATCGCGAAATGACTGAATTTAGGAAAGCAAATGATCTGATCATAACATCGTGATCTGAAGATTAAATACTCACTACAAAGCCATGTTTCGATCCCTGATTGGTTCGCTGATGAATATTGTTGAAGAGTCTCATACTACGATAAGACATTTAGAATGCTGTAATATAACACTACTGAACATAGACAATCATTCACTTCAAATGAATGAGGAGAGGAAGAATCAAGTTCCAATACAGTTATTTACTTCATTTACTTAACTTAACTGTATTTGTTGATGGAAGATCGAGGAAGAAATCAGTAAATGTAAAAGTAAACAACAGCTCCATTAAAATCATCCAGCTAGAACTGAATTCAAAGCACATTACAGTGTCAACAATATGCATAGTAGACACATAATGTGACATTCTACATAGATAAAAATAATGTAGAAGATTTCATCATTTTCGTTACTCATTACGTAATAGGTAAGCGCATTGTTTACCATGTAAGTATAATTGTTTCTGTATCGATCTCATATCATACAACTCCATACCATCTTAATGATGTCGATGAACATTCTGACCATCAATACATAATACACATTCATAAGATCTCTATACTGAATGACATAATTAGTTATTACTTATCATTTTGAAATCAGTAGTCATTTAATTGATATACAACTATTGAATAATCAATAACAGTATCAAATCAGCATGATAATCAGTATTTAAACTGGGATAAATATGGGAATAACGATAAATGATTATGACCAATTAAAACGAAGTGACAGTGAATGGAATTTATACAATATCACCTCCATGAACTAATACTTGATTATATTGACAGACTGAATATCCCTGTTGAGAACATTGTAAACTGTGTGACTAAAAGTGATGTTGTACTTTATAGAATTTAGGAAATTTTTAAGTCTGTTTTATATTCTGTCTTTACTCACTTCTCATCCACTCTTTTGCGTAATATTCCATACTACTTATTTACATTCAGTAGACAGGTTTATTCCAAAAAATTGCAGATTTATAGACACGTATAATTGTGAACTGGATCTGTACAATTTACATCTATCACAAGTGATTTCGAGGTCTATGTCGGCATTCGCCATTTCCAAATTTACTTTCTTTTTATGTGATGATCAACAATCATCTTTTGTAACTATTCTCAATCTAAAATTACTAATCGATCACATCCACCTTTTGCTAACGATTTATTTCAAGTTTACTGATCAAACATCATTTTAACATGCAAAATGTCGAGGGAAAATTCAATTCATATATGAATTAATCTCTCTTCACCTTCTAAGAACTGAGATATCAACCGAAAATAATCTTTATTCTGAAATGCTTGATAATTTCGGTCAATATTTTCAAAATATCATTCCTCCGAACGTGACCAACAATCGTAAGCAGAGTGAAAGAAGTTCTTACTAAGAGTACATTGTCCGTAGTTTTGAAAAATCACTTGAATTTTATTGATGAAAAAACACTATGTCCTTTTCACTCTCCACACATTAATTACAGATAAAAATAACATTTTAATAGTAGTGAGAGACCGTAACATGTGGAGTTCAGTCTGCGTCGAGTGTGAGATCGATATACACCTCATGGAACAGATGATGGGTCTCGCTATAGCATCGATGGGTTGAAGCTAAATATTGACAACGTTAGATATCAGGTTAGTGGTGTGAACGTTATCTGTCCGCTCTTGAGACTGAACGTCTTGAGTTTGAGTCTCATAGGAACGTGGATAAGCATGGGTTAGGAGTCCCATACCACGACCAGACGACTGTTCCGTGCTTCCAGGAATTCAACGACGGTCAATTGCGAAACTACTCTGATCTCCACAAATTTTCATACTTATATTCCAAGGAGTTTTATTGTTGTTTATTTAATTAACCACTTCGTAGTCATGTTTAAATATTATTTAAAGATTTTGTGAAGACTAGTTTGATTATCATTAGAAATTCGTCGTTGGCTGACATTATTTTAAAATCAGTGGAAATGAGTGGAAGCGGTTGTTCGTCTCACTACGTGACTCCTCTTCCAGACCATTTCAGAGATCATACGCACAGACGTTTGCTCTCATTATTATTATAACAATTTCTCACTGTTGAATTTCATCGAGACATGTTCCCAAGGTTCTAATGAAGCTTATCAATAACGAAGTTCGGTTATGTTGGTAAGGAGATTGTATCTAGCTGTGGAACTCGTTAGTACACATGCCATAACGAAAGTTCGTTTAAAATTAGGAATGTCGATTGTTGGTTTGTAACTGTGTGATCTGATAATAAAACAACAGCAAGTTAACTTCAGGGTGGTTAGTTAAATCCCTGTCGACAATGGTCGGTGTACACATTTGAGGACTGTGCAAAAACAACAAAACCATTCCATCACTCTCTTGTCGATCTGTGATATAACTCTACTACAATTGATGTTTCACTTCGGTTTACCATGTCATGTCACTAAACGGTCTTACTTTCCCAAGTGCCATTTCGTAGTCTTTAGGATGTTAAAACAGTCTGTTTGTGGAAGACGTAACAACAGTTGCACATTTAATCTGCCAATGATTTACTTTATTCTGTAAATCTTGTTGGTCGTGTCATTCGTTATCTGACTGTTTATAACAAATCACTGAATAATTTACTAGATTCTTCATGATGTTTCAATAATACATGACATTGATACCATCATGAACATTTTGATGGTATTGGTATCCCAGTAAAAACTGAATAGACAATCAAGTTACGGGCAATCATAAACTATGCAATTAACTAACAACTATATCCAATCTGTTTCTTTTACTTACTTTCGAATTCCAGAAACTATAAACTCTCTTCACGTTTCAAGGAGTTATGGAGAGACTGGATCCCATTAATTAAATTTTAATATGGTCAATATGCTACATATGTCAGTCGACACAAGTAATATGCAACACGAATCAGAAGTAGAATGCATCGCAGCGAATGGATGAGAAGTTCGAAGTGAAGCGAAGGGAAATATGAACAGAGAGTAATTGCATTAACAACCGGAATCAGAGGATGATGAATTGTATAAGAGAAAATGTTGAGACGACCTTTGAGCGACGCTAGATTGACCTTGACAGTGTCTACCTACTTACTAGGGCTAAATGAGGGTTATAAAGCAAGCAGTTTGAGGCATAACAATTATGATTCACAGTGGATGGTTAATGTTAGGAATTACATTTATGGTTTTTCATCACGAACTGACATCAGCTATAATGCCAAGACTCTATTTACCCGAATGGGTGAATGAATTTTGCGCCAAAATCTCAGGTTTGAAGAATTTGATGTATGGTTTGTGTATTTTACTTAGACATTCTGTGTTTTGCTTTAATTGATGAAACTGGTTTTTCACAAGTCTTTAAATTTAGACATTTATCCTAATAAAAGAAAAAACACCATACAGTACTATGTTTCCAATCAGGAGATATGACCAACATTCACATATAGACATTTATAAATAACAAGATGATAGCAGCACTCACTCGGTTAATTACGGTTATGGTTAATTTCTGTCAAGCCCTTTTATGAACTTATTCAACAGACAATGTTATTCGGACAGTAAAAATTGGTCTCTTGCTTTGTATTATTATTACGATCACTATCATGTCTGTATAAACGTGTACGCTTGACCATATGTGACAGCATACTCACACATCTCAAGCATAAATGGTGATGGCTTAATTATCGCTCGATGAATCATTCTCTTTCCTATGTATACACGTGATTAAATCCTGTTATTAAACGTTTCCTTGCCTTGTCTTGCCTTGCCTTGTTGCCCTGCTGTTCCTTAATTCGATTTGACTATCAATTCGTCCTTCTATTCGTTCACACACACACATTAGCCTCTCTGCACCAATGCGATCGATGTGCTTGTAATTTTGTTATCTGTGCAATCCTCTAATAAACTGTGGTCGGCGCCTCTTCTTGTCTTCTGAATACAAAAACCACTGGGACTAATGTAATGTCGGTTATCAAGGCGATTGATTAACGAAGCTAAGTCTCCACGTTAAACCTTGAATTCTCTACACAGTCAGTGACACCAAATAAATAAAAGGTCACTGTTTGATATCGATTAGAATATATGTAACAGTAGATGAGACATTAGATGATTTGTTTTATATAAATGGATTATTCATAAGTAGGAGACAACGTATTCAGGAATTAGTTTGTAGTGTCATTCATTATTTCAAGCCCATAATATATCCTTAATCTAGTTTTTGGACATCCCATTCTATTCATTGCGTAACGTCTGGTTAGATATTGGAGTTCGCTTCCCAGCCATGTTCCCTGTGCGTTGTTTTGCTTCATATATAAAATATATGTATTCACAAGTCCATTCTCTTTATTCGACTTATGTAATTTCGTTATTGACTAACGCGATTCAAGTCGATGATTATATACGAGGATAGGTGACATATAAATTTCAACAACAATGATCATTACGATCTACATAGAGTCAGATCCATGGGCCATTAAAAGTTCAACAGACTTAAGAATAAACTATAAAACTTATTCTTCAAACTCAATTCTCATAATATGAAATCAGAAATTGAAGTAATTTGAAGGAACAATGTAACCACAATTTCTGAATAAATTCAAATCAGATGATGATGATAATAAAGCAAAATCAATTCGAATAGCTAACATATTATTGTAGAGAGAAATAATATTGCACGGGGTAGCAATGAGATACAGCGGCAAATTACGATTTATTCATTCATCGTAAATAAACGGAAAGTTGACGTTCCAATCATAAAGCATTAAAATGTACTAAAATGTACTAAACTGCCTTTAGGAATATTCTGCATTTTTGGGCACAATTCACGTGATTTCACTTCATATGGTTTCTCATTATTCCAATTACCACTAAAACAGTCAACACAATATAAAACATCAGTTACATTCACTATGAGAACAACAACAAGGTGATTGCAAACAATACCACCTCTTCCCACATGATCAAGAGCAATCACTTACCCTGGACCATAATTACACACGATTGATAGACCGTACTTTGGACAACTCGCAACTCCACATCCAATGTCTGTGGTCTTGGCCCAAACCATCTGAAACGGAATGTGAACAAGGAAATAATGTGATCGGTCGGTGGGCCAATTGCAAGGCATTTCCACTATGTTTCAACATGACGTGTGTGTAAATACATTACTTATAAATGATGGAGATAATGTTGTCAAGTGAAGGAGATACACGTGGAAATTCCAGTATGTGTTGAATGAGTATGTTTACACTTGGTGCAGTTATGATAACTAGTTGAATTCTACAGAACAATCAATCACTCACTCACTCAACCAATCAATCAATCAATCAATCAATCATTCAGTCAATCAATCATTCAATCAATCAGTCACTCTCTCTCACTCTCCCACTCATTCTGTCTCATGTCAACCAACAGTCGAAATCATTTCACCCAACACAACATCGTCATCTTCCATCTATAAACAATTCATTTCTGTTGAGTAGATTGCAATATTGTGTTTGTGTGTTCACACTAGTGTTGACACTAGTGTTGACACATTGATTAGGACTTGAATGCACTCGTCAGTCTTAGTACATGCTGGTCAGAGACAAATTTCCTATCTGTTGTTTTCCACCGAATCACCTCAACTCTCAACAAAACACACATACTCAAATATGATCAAGTGTTGTGGATACCTGTGTGCATAACTGTAATGATCGGATTACGTGTATTTACATGTGTTTTTCAGTCACTTCTGTAGAAAAATGAAACCACTTGATTGTTATCACACATTCGTGGTGCATTATAATAGGTGTGAATGGTGAGTGACAAATGACTGTGTGTATGTTGAACTATGTTGAAGTGGATGAGAATGGACTTACTTGTGTGTAATGCAAACATGCCATACAGTTGTTTTCTTTGTAGTCGTATAGTTTGTGCTCATTGAACCAAGCATCTACTCCTCTGAATCAGAAAACAGTGAATTGAATAGAAATGAGCTTACGACTTAATGGTTGGACAGAGAGCAATATTTTGTCCAACCCAAGAGAATTCATCCGAATGACGTTTGTCGTGTTGCAAGATGCATTTGTTCGCCAATTTTTGTGCTTGTGCAGCCAGATTGTAATTCCATTTCTACAAATAAGCGTTACGTATATTATTTGAAGAAATTATTGAATAGTGAGTGATTTACCAATGGTGACATATATTTAGCTGGAGGTTGTCCATCAACTTTACAATCAACTAAATCCTGTCTGTATTTTCTATGCAGTTCGAGTATTTCGAGACTGTTTTTATCAAGCTTTCTGTTGGTGTTCACGCAGTAGACATAATTGATGAGAATGTATATTATCAGTATGTTAAACATTTACTTTCTTTTAGTATGTTGTTGCAATGATTTTGAGTAATGATTTCAATGCCTTTTTATTTACTTTTGTATGAATTATATGAATTAATTCTTTGCACTACATGTTTATGTTTCATGCTATGCAATATAACATTTCAATATTATAGGAACGGATATAACTTGAGTTATTTAATCATGGGTCTAATCTATGAATCATATTGGTTACTATTGTGAGAATTTCATTGAGAATATATTGTTATAGTCATAATATATGCGGGAATAAAAAAGTACATTTATATTGATTTTGGAAGAAAGAATATTGTTGACATTTCAATTGGTTTGTATGAGAACTTTTGATAGAAATAATTGATCATGATCATTTGATCAATGAATTTGAAGAATTATGAAAGACAAGAAAATATTAAACAAACATTGATCTATTTGACGATAAATTAGTTTACATGAAAATGATTTACATCATATTCAATAATCTACTCTTAAATCCTGATTTCATTGTTGACTGGTTGATTGTAAACATGTTAGAAGTGAAAAATATTGTCATTAGTTTCATTGAATAAAAGAATAACATTGGAATTGTATCCATCGTAACCTAATCTATGATTTTATACCGGTAACTAGTAGGATCTTATGTAATTACTGCTCTTATGTGATATATTAAGACGAAACAATTATTCAACGCTCCACAGTTTGGATCGTAATGATATCGAATATAATAAATTAGACATATTAACTGTTGTTTATTATTGAATTACACAACAGTTACATTAAATCTTAGAAACCAGTTATCAATGTGTGATCATTACATTTCTTTTGTAATATAAAATTGTGATCATTAGAAGTATTGAAATTCTAATAGAAACTAAGAATCATAGAAATCGCACAATTTAACCAAGAAGTATTAAATGACCATGAACATATATATTGTACTTGAAATTCGAAATCGAACAGTCCTCATCAACTACAAAAGTATCGTTAGTTTATACAAGCAATATAGAAATGTACTTGTAAGTAGATCATAAATAATAAAGTGCTGTGGGGTCGAGTCGTTGTTGACTATGATCAGCACTACAGGAAGACTATGTGCCAGTTACATGATAAGATCCCCCATAGGCCAAATATATTTGTTGGCGATCTCGTGGTATCGAAAGAATACCGAGATCGTACCAAAGGAGTACAAGTGGAACTACTGAACAAACGTAAGTTCGTACAAGGTCACAATCAACGGGAGAATTTATGTTCTTAGTACAGTAAAACAATCCCTGGTACAATTGGTTATAATAGTAATTGTTTCCATTACATCAATCGCGTTCTCTTGATAAAAGTAGGTCACTACAATGCCTTGAAATCTATTAGATTAACAATCAGGAATTAATATGAATATTCTGAATGTTTATGTTACATGCTTGATGCTCTTTAGATTGACGTATCCTGGTATTGATTTCCACATTTCTCCGTGATTTACAATATCCTATATAATTTCTAAGCCTATTTTCCCTCAGTCTATGTAATGCAATCTTAAAAAACCTAAAGTATGTTGATTAGGCTATAAATTCAAACACCACATCTATCTTACTTTGAACTAATGGATATTCCATTAATGTTGATTACATATTAGGGTAATCTTTATTTCAGATCATTTTGATGAATGCTGTATAGGGCAAGAAGTATCAAGAGTTCAGGAATGTTGATTAATAGCTTTCAACAGTAGCCAGTCATATTCATGAATAAATTTTAAGAAATCCACAATTGTTTGTGATGACAGACAATATATTAATTAGATGTACAAATTCACTGATTAAAATATATCGTGGTATAAAAAAACTACTTAAATACTTTGTAGGGTCAGTGAAATGAACAGCTCATCAATCCCAGTCAAGGTCAAGGAAAACCAACACGCATCAGTTAATCTCACTCCATGAACGGAGGGTTAATCCATGTTAGGTTGTTGACCGCGTGGTGTGACTTTGAAGTTAGCTGTTGTTTGCAGCATTCCCGTCTAGCTATAGTAGGCTTCTGACCATTGGGCATTGATCATCTACGTTGGTGACCTACAGTTTTTTTTGTCTCATTTATGTGAATTCTTTTCATCCTTCCATTAATCCTACTGAAATAGTTATATTTTCATGTTTATTATATACAGAATAATAAAGATCAAATTCTCAATTCAATAGACAACTTCCAATTTACTCAAGAACACATGGTGCCGGGATTTGGAGTCAGTCATCAAACGAGCTGATAGCTTTTTTGGCAACAATTAGAAAGGAAATTCCAAAGACAAATTAGGTAGACGATTCGTAGTAGTCAACTTGTGCTCTACGCATGGTAACACATGTGGTATAAGTATGTATCATGCTAAGTGACCGTCTAATTCAGACAACGTTGATGTCTATTTCATTATTTATCTTACATAGTAAAGTTTCGAATATTGTGCAATGCTTACTTTTTGTTACGTTTCTTCTATACTACTCATGTGTATTCAGTAGTTCGAGTTAGTTCCATTTATTTTAATGCCCACCATGTATAATTCGTGTTATTTACTCACAGCTTTTTCTACACTACAGTAATTTATCCACTTCTGATCATACGATCTTATTTGTATATGCTAGTATGTATAACACTATTTATTTCGGAAACTGTCTAATGTTGAACGTTGCGACTAATCTACTTCTATTATTCAGTAATGTTTCTGCTTGACGAAATCGACTACAGTTTTCTCATTGAAATCTATCGAAACTTTTAAAAATACCATGTGGAGGGTGAAGAGGAAATTAAGAAAATACGTCATCTATTGAGGAAATACTTTAACTGTTTCAAGAGTGAAGCGACAACTTGGAATACTGATGAAAAACGGAAAAGAGGAAGACCAAATAGCAAACTGTGTCGAGAATTGAAATCAAACATCAAAACGATAAACAGCAACTGGAACCAAGTGGAAAGCATATTCCAGTAAACAGTAAGATGGAGAATGATGGTTGACAGCTTATGCTCCTCAACGAGGGCAACAGGTGTATTTAGGTAAGTACATAAGTAAGTAAGTAAGTAAGTAATACAATTACATGAATGGACTAAATAAATCGATTGAAAGAAAAAACGTCAAATTAAGAGTAACACAGACAAAGAAACTATGAAAGTAAATTCAACATTCTTCCTGTTAATTAAAACTAGTTCAAGCATAATTAGCTCACAGTATAATAATGTGGAATTGATAAGGTTTCACATAACACGCATTGATTATATATCTCATCTATATTATCATCTGTATTCATCACTTCTCACCTATTCTACAAGGTATAATTGAATTAATGAATGACTATTTCTTATTAGAAGGCATTTATGGAACTGGTCAGGTCACATTTCCATCTTATATGACGGGTTCAATAAACAAGATAATATTGTTTGACTAATGGTGGTGATTCTTGTTCAACAGTCCATCCATTTTCTATTTCAATATATAATGATTAGTCAGAGTGAAATTTATTTTGATTTGACTGTGTTCATATTTTATTCAATATAACATTAATTGATTTGAATGTGATGGCTTATTCAAGATACATCATTCATGTATTGTTGAATGAACATGGACAATGCTCAGTATGACATGTAGTGTGTGATTTTGTTATCAGTTTGAATATTCTTCATATATGTGATCTCATTGCAATGAATAATCGAAATGGGTGTATGAATGAATATATAGACGAGTGGATATTCGACTCTACTTGTTGTTCTTGTTGTTGTCGTCGTCGTGTGTTGAATTTATGAAATCTTCAGTTATAAATAGAAAGATAATTAGTATATTCAGAAGAAACATTCACACCTAAATATGTCAATCAGTCAACTTATATCTACGAAACAGATTAGTGTTGATATCTACCTTCATTTTAGTGATTTATACCATTCTTTTATATGTCAAGCCTCTCACACGATTTATCTCATATCCATATATATTTGAGGGAATTTCATGTCTGAACATTGTTCAAAACGTATGTTTCAAAACATCTGAGTTACGAGAATAATTCTTATAACCTGAAGACATTTCGAAGCTTCTTCTTCTTCAACAAAAAGATTATATTGTTTATCATCTATTAACAAACACCTCTCCTAGCCCAGTAAGCATCAGATTACATACTAACTAACATACTACTTATTTCACGTTAATCTATGCACTGACAATCAAAATCAATCAACATTGGTATTCAATTAATTATTTGATGTTTCACAGATTCACAAGAATTACTCTCTTCTAAGTAAGTCAATCACTCAAACCAAACGCCACTCACATACCGCATATTATCTTGTGTTCCGATTGAAATTCTTTATACATAGACATTGAATGAGTTGTGTGAACCTATTGAAAAATAAACACATTAGATCTAATGTCTGTCCATTGTGATCCATTGTGTCCGTCACATACAACCGATTATTGACATTTGTCATCGTGAACAATGCACCGATCACATTGTTGTGAATTAATCTAACGGACTTTCACAATATTGAGTTTAATTACACTTGGTGATCCAAATATCTATCCACACATCTACCTATCTATCTATCTGTCTATCCACACAACAATCTATCTATCTATAGTGGTATACTATCACAGATTGACATCACAATATACTCACCTCTAGATTATTTAGTTGGTTTCATATCTTCACTCATTCCATTATTCTCTCAACCAAATCAGAATTTCCAGTACGTTGACAGTTCTGAAGAGTCCACACTCATCAGATAATATTTGACATTTCACAATGATCTGATCATTGAGTTTACTTATGTCTAATGTAATCAGGCATTTTGTATGGTGTATTTCATTTCATTCATCAGAAATTTCGCGATCACTATCGTGTTTTACTACACTCACGCATCCTGATCGAATGTTAGCAGATGACGTGTAATAATACCATTGTTGCAATTAGGGTTAATCCTTCTTCCACACTCTCTTCACACTTCTATGTTGACTTCAATGAGACTAATGATTTACCATTTCCAATGTTATCACATTTAAGCTTCATGCGTCAATGGAGTTCCGTCAACTCCAACTAATTTGTTGCTTACTCAAAATGAGTGTTATTGTTTAAGTTTACACAATTTTGGACATCATTGATAGTGTTGTTTAATAGTACGCCTCTTGTAAAAATCAATAATTTTCTGTGTTTCATTTCAAGTGTTGTTGAAGTGATATTTATTTGTTTATTGTTCGTTTTGTTAATTACTTTGCATCTAAACCATTATTCATCATCAATGTGCAATTCTATTTCTAATACAGCAGAATGTTATATTCTCTTGTAATGTTCGTGCCATCATATATTGCAACACTGAAGTGGTTACACAACCGAATCACTAATATTATGCCTATTACCTACATTCTTCCATATGTTGCGAGGACTAGTGTAACACATCGAAGAGGATTGAATGAAGAGAACAGAAATAGATCATAACTACAGAGAGGAAACTCAAATACTACTGACAATATAAATGATACTAATCTAACCTAGTTATTACTCATAAAATTGTGTTCAACTTTGTAATATGGTAGAAAATACAGAATTGGCATTGTCAATTTTAATAATTGAATTGAATTATACCAAAGCTATTTGGTCCACTCTTCATGAAGGCCTTGTGGTGGTCCAAAAAGTATATTAACCGAAAAAAAGCAACAAAGTTATTACGTCCAAAAGTTAATGTAGCAATAAACAACACATAAAATAAAAACACAAATAAAAGTTTAGGGACGTTACTTAAATCAGCAGGTTGTCGCATGTCTTGTTGATTTTGGTACCAGAATCCACTATTATAGGTAAATAATAATTCCAATGAGACGATATGACTCCAGTAGTATATCCGAACGTAGAATGTAATGTGAATGTTACAACAGTCTATAAATATAGATGATAGTTAATTAATCGTTCCGTTATTATATCCACAAACATGATAGAACGAGAGATGTATGTATAAAAGTGTATTTGATTATGAGCAGTTAACTATGTCATGCTATGTTGGATTCAAAAACGGAAGGAAGGATGGAAGTATTCAAGGTCATATACTGAAACAACAAGTGCAATCGATTAATGATAAATGTACAGATTGTGAGAATTGTCAAAACAAATGCAAGAGATATCAAAAACTATTTACAAAATAGGTTTATTAAGTCTATCTCCACAGCATAGAACTTGCTATTGTTATGAAAAAAACCGATTGTCGGCATGGAAGTCTAGCTATCTTAGAAAACATCACTATGTCAAATTTATTGGAATTTTCTTTTGAGAAACTACTTATCTTTACAAAGTTTAATTACCTGATTATCCATAAGTATAGCATTTTGATTAAGTCAGTCTTGATAAACTGTTCGTCAGATAGCCAACATTCTAGATACTGTATTTGATCTTTATTGATTGAGCAAGCAATCATTAAATGAAAAAGTAATGAACATCTTCATTAGAATCGTTCTTCATAGAATTGAATTCAAAACAAATTACAGTGTCAACAATATGCATAGTAGACACATAATGTGACATTCTACATAGATAAAAATAATGTAGAAGATTTCATCGGTTTCGCTACTCATTACGTAATAGGTAAGCGCATTGTTTACCATGTAAGTATAATTGACTCTATATTGATCTCACATCATACAACTTCATACCATTTTAATGATGTCGGTGAACATTCTGACCATCAATACATAATACACATTCATTAGATCTCTATACTAATTGACATAATTAGTTATTACTTATCATTTTGAAATCAGTAGTCATTTAATTGATATACAACTATTGAATAATCAATAACAGTATCAAAGCAGCATGATAATCAGTATTTAAACTGGGATAAATATGGGAATAACGATAAATGATTATGACCAATTAAAACGAAGTGACAGTGAATGGAATTTATACAATATCACCTCCATGAACTAATACTTGATTATATTGACAGACTGAATATCCCTGTTGAGAACATTGTAAACTGTGTGACTTAAAGTGATGTGGTAATCAATTGACTGAAGGAAATATTCACAAATACGTCGTGATATATTTTAAGAAATTCAAACAATCTGTACCGAAATTCACTGATATTAATGATGAAATTACACGAACATTGAAACGGTTACCTGAATGAGCAATAAAGGTTTATGAAATTCACAATGCCTGTACAGTAATCGTCATATCAATAAGACGTTTGTCACAAGAACAATATGTTTAGTTTCACATAATCCGTATGTCAATAAGGCACAAAACATATGGTGATTTATTTCGGTAATTCCAAATCATTGATAATAATAAATGTGATCACTCACTGACAAAATCCTACATGACTAAACAATCGTTTGATATCTGTGTCACTTACTATTTATACTTGTAAAACGAGGAAACACTTCAATTGCTACAACGCAAAGTAAGAACATCAAGACTGATCTAAGTGAAGAGTTCATAACACCAAAACACGACAACAACAAGAACAACAAGTAGAGTCGAATATCCACTCGTCTATATATTCATTCATACACCCATTTCGATTATTCATTACAATGAGATCACATATATGAAGAATATTCAAACTGATAACAAAATCACACACTACATGTCATACTGAGCATTGTCCATGTTCATTCAACAATACATGAATGATGTATCTTGAATAAGCCATCACATTCAAATCAATTAATGTTATATTGAATAAAATATGAACACAGTCAAATCAAAATAAATTTCACTCTGACTAATCATTATATATTGAAATAGAAAATGGATGGACTGTTGAACAAGAATCACCACCATTAGTCAAACAATATTATCTTGTTTATTGAACCCGTCATATAAGATGGAAATGTGACCTAACCAGTTCCATAAATGCCTTCTAATAAGAAATAGTCATTCATTAATTCAATTATACCTTGTAGAATAGGTGAGAAGTGATGAATACAGATGATAATATAGATGAGATATATAATCAATGCGTGTTATGTGAAACCTTATCAGTTCCACATTATTATACTGTGAGGTAATTATTGTAAGCTAATTATGCTTGAACTAGTTTTAATTAACAGGAAGAATGTTGGATTTGCTTTCATAGTTTCTTTGTCTGTGTTTCCCGAAATCCAACGAACATTTGTGTAGATTACATCAATATTGGTTTGGACAAATTTGTTTAAGAGATTTTGTTTATTCATTGAAATTAGTAATGTGTGACATTCTATGCCACTAAGCAATATGTGAACTGAAATAAATTTATGAGAATGGTGATTTGTGGAGATTGTAGTACTGTAATAGTTAGATTCATGGGTCGATCGGAATTGAGAACCTAGAAGCAGTTTAACGGTCGTTTCGTCTTAGTATGTGCATATACACGATTTCTCATGAGGTATTCGAACTCAGGACCTCGTGTGTCGCACGCTTCGCGAACGTTTATTCTCTAGACCACTGAGCTAGCATCCAACGGTGTTAATGTTTAACTTCAACAGATCCATGATTATGCGCAACGTGTAATTGACTATTCAAAGTGTAAATAATTGTTAGTAATTAATGAAACTCTAAGAAGAAATTGTTTTAATTTACGGCATGTTTTTTGCATAGTTCTCGAATGTCTCAAAACCAGAAGAAACATTTTCGTACGACTTATTCATTTTTGAATATTTTTGTAATGTGATCTGAATAGAAGTGAATGTTTATTCAAACTATGCAAGTTTCAATCATTCCAACATAAAGTAAATTTTAGATTCAAACCTGTGAGTATATCATTTGATTGCCATTATTCATATCCATGTAAGTCATTCATAATAAAACGGATATTTCAAATGGAATTAAATAAGGCATTTTTAACCATTCGTTATTCAAAAACCGCAATGGGAAGAAAGAAACTGCCATTCACGGATATAAAAATGTCAAATAGGTAGTGAATGAAGACTAAATGACATACACTTTATCTATATAAACACGAACTATTCGGAAAACCATGAGCAGAAAAAGAAATACATCATGTACTTACGTGTAAAGAAAGCACCAAACGTCGTACATATATTATTCATTCTTGTTAATATGATTTATGCAAATGGTAGCCTAGATGCAAACAGTAGAGAGTTACTCAATTTGCATGAAAAATACAGACAGGATTTGGTTGATTGTAAAGTTGATGGACAACCTCCAGCTAAATATATGTCACCATTGGTAAATCACTCACTATTCAATAATTTCTTCAAATAATATACGTAACGCTTATTTGTAGAAATGGAATTACAATCTGGCTGCACAAGCACAAAAATTGGCGAACAAATGCATCTTGCAACACGACAAACGTCATTCGAATGAATTCTCTTGGGTTGGACAAAATATTGCTCTCCATCCAACCATTAAGTCGTAAGCTCATTTCTATTCAATTCACTGTTTTCTGATTCAGAGGAGTAGATGCTTGGTTCAATGAGCACAAACTATACGACTACAAAGAAAACAACTGTATGGCATGTTTGCATTACACACAAGTAAGTCCATTCTCATCCACTTCAACATAGTTCAATATACACACAGTCATTTGTCACTCACCATTCACACCTATTATAATGCACCACGAATGTGTGATAACAATCAAGTGGTTTCATTTTTCTACAGAAGTGACTGAAAAACACATGTAAATACACGTAATCCGATCATTACAGTTATGCACACAGGTATCCACAACACTTGATCATATTTGAGTATGTGTGTTTTGTTGAGAGTTGAGGTGATTCGGTGGAAAACAACAGATAGGAAATTTGTCTCTGACCAGCATGTACTAAGACTGACGAGTGGATTCAAATCCTAATCAATGTGTCAACACTAGTGTCAACACTAGTGTGAACACACAAACACAATATTGCAATCTACTCAACAGAAATGAATTGTTTATAGATGGAAGATGACGATGTTGTGTTGGGTGAAATGATTTCGACTGTTGGTTGACATGAGACAGAATGAGTGGGAGAGTGAGAGAGAGTGACTGATTGATTGAATGATTGATTGATGATGATTGATTGATTGAGTGAGTGATTGGTTGGGTGAGTGAGTGAATGAGTGTTCTGTAGAATTCAACTAGTTATCATAACTGCACCAAGTGTAAACATACTCATTCAACACATACTGGAATTTCCACGTGTATCTCCTTCACTTGACAACATTATCTCTATCGTCTACATGTAATGTATTTACTCACATCAGGTTGAAGCATGGTGGAAATGCCTTGCAATTGGCCTACCGAACGATCACCTTATTTCCTTGTTCACATTCCGTTTCAGATGGTTTGGGCCAAGACCACAGACATTGGATGTGGAGTTGCGAGTTGTCCAAGATACGGTCTATCAATCGTGTGTAATTATGGTCCAGGGTAAGTGATTGTTCTTGATGATGTGTGAAGAGGTGGTATTGTTTGCAATCACCTTGTTGTTGTTCTCATAGTGAATGTAACTGATGTTTTATATTGTGTTGACTGTTTTAGTGGTAATTGGAATAATGAGAAACCATATGAAGTGAAATCACGTGAATTGTGCCCAAAAATGCAGAATATTCCTAAAGATAGTTTTCAAAAGGCGCGTGATGATACACTGCGTGCACCATTATCAATAGTGAATGTCAACCACAAGTTGTCATCGATCGGTTCAAGTGAAGGTTTAGTTAACGATCAACCCTCCACAGGTTTACAAAGAACGTTGGATGAGAAAAGCCTTGAAATACTCGAACTGCACAGAAAATACAGACAGGATTTGATTGATTGTAAAGTTGATGGACAACCTCCAGCTAAATATATGTCACCATTGGTAAATCACTCACTATTCAATAATTTCTTCAAATAATATACGTAACGCTTATTTGTAGAAATGGAATTACAATCTGGCTGCACAAGCACAAAAATTGGCGAACAAATGCATCTTGCAACACGACAAACGTCATTCGGATGAATTCTCTTGGGTTGGACAAAATATTGCTCTCCATCCAACCATTAAGTCGTAAGCTCATTTCTATTCAATTCACTGTTTTCTGATTCAGAGGAGTAGATGCTTGGTTCAATGAGCACAAACTATACGACTACAAAGAAAACAACTGTATGGCATGTTTGCATTACACACAAGTAAGTCCATTCTCATCCACTTCAACATAGTTCAACATACCCACAGTCATTTGTCACTCACCATTCACACCTATTATAATGCACCACGAATGTGTGATAACAATCAAGTGGTTTCACTTTTCTACAGAAGTGACTGAAAAACACATGTAAATACACGTAATCCGATCATTACAGTTATGCACACAGGTATCCACAACACTTGATCATATTTGAGTATGTGTGTTTTGTTGAGAGTTGAGGTGATTCGGTGGAAAACAACAGATAGGAAATTTGTCTCTGACCAGCATGTACTAAGACTGACGAGTGCATTCAAATCCTAATCAATGTGTCAACACTAGTGTCAACACTAGTGTGAACACACAAACACAATATTGCAATCTACTCAACAGAAATGAATTGTTTATAGATGGAAGATGACGATGTTGTGTTGGGTGAAATGATTTCGACTGTTGGTTGACATGAGACAGAATGAGTGGGAGAGTGAGAGAGAGTGACTGATTGATTGACTGAATGATTGATTGATTGATTGAGTGATTGGTTGGGTGAGTGAGTGATTGATTGTTCTGTAGAATTCAACTAGTTATCATAACTGCACCAAGTGTAAACATACTCATTCAACACATACTGGAATTTCCACGTGTATCTCCTTCAGTTGACAACATTATCTCTATCGTCTACATGTAATGTATTTACTCACATCAGGTTGAAGCATGGTGGAAATGCCTTGCAATTGGCCTACCGAACGATCACATTATTTCCTTGTTCACATTCCGTTTCAGATGGCTTGGGCCAAGACCACAGACATTGGATGTGGAGTTGCGAGTTGTCCAAGATACGGTCTATCAATCGTGTGTAATTATGGTCCAGGGTAAGTGATTGTTCTTGATGATGTGTGAAGAGGTGGTATTGTTTGCAATCACCTTGTTGTTGTTCTCATAGTGAATGTAACTGATGTTTTATATTGTGTTGACTGTTTTAGTGGTAATTGGAATAATGAGAAACCATATGAAGTGAAATCACGTGAATTGTGCCCAAAAATGCAGAATATTCCTAAAGATAGTTTTCAAAAGGCGCGTGATGATACACTGCGTGCACCATTATCAATAGTGAATGTCAACCACATGTTGTCATCGATCGGTTCAAGTGAAGGTTTAGTTAACGATCAACCCTCCACAGGTTTACAAAGAACGTTGGATGAGAAAAGCCTTGAAATACTCGAACTGCACAGAAAATACAGACAGGATTTGATTGATTGTAAAGTTGATGGACAACCTCCAGCTAAATATATGTCACCATTGGTAAATCACTCACTATTCAATAATTTCTTCAAATAATATACGTAACGCTTATTTGTAGAAATGGAATTACAATCTGGCTGCACAAGCACAAAAATTGGCGAACAAATGCATCTTGCAACACGACAAACGTCATTCGAATGAATTCTCTTGGGTTGGACAAAATATTGCTCTCCATCCAACCATTAAGTCGTAAGCTCATTTCTATTCAATTCACTGTTTTCTGATTCAGAGGAGTAGATGCTTGGTTCAATGAGCACAAACTATACGACTACAAAGAAAACAACTGTATGGCATGTTTGCATTACACACAAGTAAGTCCATTCTCATCCACTTCAACATAGTTCAATATACACACAGTCATTTGTCACTCACCATTCACACCTATTATAATGCACCACGAATGTGTGATAACAATCAAGTGGTTTCATTTTTCTACAGAAGTGACTGAAAAACACATGTAAATACACGTAATCCGATCATTACAGTTATGCACACAGGTATCCACAACACTTGATCATATTTGAGTATGTGTGTTTTGTTGAGAGTTGAGGTGATTCGGTGGAAAACAACAGATAGGAAATTTGTCTCTGACCAGCATGTACTAAGACTGACGAGTGCATTCAAATCCTAATCAATGTGTCAACACTAGTGTCAACACTAGTGTGAACACACAAACACAATATTGCAATCTACTCAACAGAAATGAATTGTTTATAGATGGAAGATGACGATGTTGTGTTGGGTGAAATGATTTCGACTGTTGGTTGACATGAGACAGAATGAGTGGGAGAGTGAGAGAGAGTGACTGATTGATTGAATGATTGATTGACTGAATGATTGATTGATTGATTGAGTGATTGGTTGGGTGAGTGAGTGATTGATTGTTCTGTAGAATTCAACTAGTTATCATAACTGCACCAAGTGTAAACATACTCATTCAACACATACTGGAATTTCCACGTGTATCTCCTTCACTTGACAACACTATCTCTATCGTTACAGTAATGTGTTTACACACAGGTCATGTTGAAACATAGTGGAAATGCCTTGCAATTGGCCTACCGAACGATCACCTTATTTCCTTGTTCACATTCCGTTTCAGATGGTTTGGGCCAAGACCACAGACATTGGATGTGGAGTTGCGAGTTGTCCAAAGTACGGTCTATCAATCGTGTGTAATTATGGTCCAGGGTAAGTGATTGTTCTTGATGATGTGTGAAGAGGTGGTATTGTTTGCAATCACCTTGTTGTTGTTCTCATAGTGAATGTAACTGATGTTTTATATTGTGTTGACTGTTTTAGTGGTAATTGGAATAATGAGAAACCATATGAAGTGAAATCACGTGAATTGTGCCGAAGTGCTGAAAATACGAACAATGGGATTTTTATTTCACCAACGATTAATCAATTGGATGAATCTACTTTGTCAAATTTGTTGAATGAGCGAACCGTTTCACTGGATATGGTTAATAGTTCAAATGATGGAAATCATATGAACATTCATGTGTTCAATAAAACTTTACTTAAGCCAAATATATTAATGAATGATTCTATTTGTTATGATATTTCCCATTGATTCAATATTTTCATCATTTAGATAATTATCAGTAATGCAATATATATACTAAATAGTACAAAATGTATTCTGTTTTCCTTCTTCTTTTTTGCGAAACGATATTTCAGCAATCGTTAGTTATTTACTGCTTAGATGAATTCAATCTCATAATTAGGCTGGAAAATTAGATAGTTATCATTCTATATAAATAAACTTTTCCATTTTCATTTCATAACAAACAACCATATGAATTTATAGATTGTCTCATATCATTTTGTGGTGTATGAATGAACAAATGATTCCTTTGTACTTGTTGAATGCTTGATTACGAATTCCAAATACAGTACATTCATTTGTGGTTATCTAGTACTTCTTGATCCGATTACGTTATTTCTGAGATTCTTAGTTCATACTATAATTCAAATACTACTAATCATCACAGATTTCTTAATCGGTCAAACAATATACATATACTATCATTAACCATCGTCCATCCCCATTTACAATCGTTGTGACTGAATGGCAATGTCGAGACAATTTGAATAAGATACATTTTAGACAATCTTAAACATCAATGAGAAGATTTAAACAACCATTACTAATAAATTAAAATCTTGTTGTTTTTTATTACATAATCCAGTACCATTCAAGTTTATATTTCATTCAAGACATGTGAATGTTAAAATTCTAGTTCATTTTAAAAATACTCCTACATCTACATACTTTTACTCCTTTGTTTACTTATGGAGTATAGGCCACCGACCAGCATTCTCCAACTCACTCTGTCATGAGCCTTCGTTTCTAGTTCTATGCTATATCTACATACTGTAATTTTTAATACCATATATTTCCCTCATAGTAAACTATTGTTATGTATTATTAATTTGGACATATAACTACAGAATAAGATGAGAATTTATTGAAAGATATCTTCTTCTTGTACATAGCTCTTTTAATTACAAAAGTCATTAAAGAGAGTGGCAGTAAAATTTGTTATAGATTGTCAAGTGACAAGTTTACTAGATCATCTGAGTAATATACAAAGTAAGAGAAATGTGAAGTCAACGCAAATCTATGTTAATTGATAAAGCTTGGTGGGTAAATTAAGAATCGGTTTGTAATATGTGGTCAAAGTATGAATTGACTCATCTGAAACATAGTCGTTGACTAAATCTCTTTGAAAAAAACACATCTTCCATCTTCAGTATTTGATCGCTTATAGAACGATTCTCATGCTCGTTTAGGTAGATTGTTTGGGACTTGATGCTCAACCGATAAAAATCGATTTATACTAACGCAAACATTACTAACCACAAAGAGAGAAAGCATGGTAATTTTGAAATAATTCATATTAAGACAAGAACTGAACCGGTAAAAAAAATGGTAAAACAATCTAGCCCGATGAATTTAACGAAATTCACCGTAAAAATGCCTGATTATATTAGACATAAATACACACAATGATTAGATCATTGTGAAATGTCAAATATTATCTGATGAGTGTGGACTCTTCAGAACTGTCAACGTACTGGAAATTCTGATTTGGTTGAGAGAATAATGGAATGAGTGAAGATATGAAACCAACTAAATAATCTAGAGGTGAATAGATTGTGATGTCAATCTGTGATAGTATACCACTATAGATAGATAGATTGTTGTGTGGATAGACAGATAGATAGATAGGTAGATGTGTGGATAGATATTTGGATCACCAAGTGTAATTAAACTCAATATTGTAAAAGTCCGTTAGATAAATTCACATACAATGTGATTAGTGCACTGTTCACGATGACAAATGTCAATAATCGGTTGTATGTGACGGACAAAATGGATCACAATGGACAGACATTAGATCTAATGTGTTTATTTTTCAATAGGTTCACACAACTCATTCAATGTCTATGTATAGAGAATTTCAATCGGAACACAAGATAATATGCGGTATGTGAGTGGCGTTTGGTTTGAGTGATTGACTGACCTAGAAGAGAGTATTTCTTGTGAATATTCTAAATATCTTCAAAGCTAAAGAACTAAAAATATCACACAAACTGTTCATTAAAATTTTTTCGCCTGAATTATCGGAAATATATGTATATATATACGTAAAACAGTTCATAATGCTTAATCAAAGAAACAATTCAACAAATACGCGATCAAATTTTCTGTGTCTTCCATCTATATTAACAATTGTATTGTTCTTTCTAAAAAGTGCATCATGCAACAAACGTTTGAATTCGAATAGTCAAGAAATACTCGATTTGCATACAAAATACAGACAGGATTTGATTGATTGTAAAGTTGATGGACAACCTCCAGCTAAATATATGTCACCATTGGTAAATCACTCACTATTCAATAATTTCTTCAAATAATATACGTAACGCTTATTTGTAGAAATGGAATTACAATCTGGCTGCACAAGCACAAAAATTGGCGAACAAATGCATCTTGCAACACGACAAACGTCATTCGGATGAATTCTCTTGGGTTGGACAAAATATTGCTCTCTGTCCAACCATTAAGTCGTAAGCTCATTTCTATTCAATTCACTGTTTTCTGATTCAGAGGAGTAGATGCTTGGTTCAATGAGCACAAACTATACGACTACAAAGAAAACAACTGTATGAAATGTAAGCATTACACACAAGTAAGTCCATTCTCATCCACTTCAACATAGTTCAACATACCCACAGTCATTTGTCACTCACCATTCACACCTATTATAATGCACCACGAATGTGTGATAACAATCAAGTGGTTTCATTTTTCTACAGGAGTGACTGAAAAACACATGTAAATACACGTAATCCGATCATTACAGTTATGCACACAGGTATCCACAACACTTGATCATATTTGAGTATGTGTGTTTTGTTGAGAGTTGAGGTGATTCGGTGGAAAACAACAGATAGGAAATTTGTCTCTGACCAGCATGTACTAAGACTGACGAGTGCATTCAAATCCTAATCAATGTGTCAACACTAGTGTGAACACACAAACACAATATTGCAATCTACTCAACAGAAATGAATTGTTTATAGATGGAAGATGACGATGTTGTGTTGGGTGAAATGATTTCGACTGTTGGTTGACATGAGACAGAATGAGTGGGAGAGTGAGAGAGAGTGACTGATTGATTGACTGAATGATTGATTGATTGATTGAGTGATTGGTTGAGTGAGTGGGTGATTGGTTGGGTGAGTGAGTGATTGATTGTTCTGTAGAATTCAACTAGTTATCATAACTGCACCAAGTGTAAACATACTCATTCAACACATACTGGAATTTCCACGTGTATCTCCTTCAGTTGACAACATTATCTCTATCGTCTACATGTAATGTATTTACTCACATCAGGTTGAAGCATGGTGGAAATGCCTTGCAATTGGCCTACCGAACGATCACATTATTTCCTTGTTCACATTCCGTTTCAGATGGTTTGGGCCAAGACCACAGACATTGGATGTGGAGTTGCGAGTTGTCCAAAGTACGGTCTATCAATCGTGTGTAATTATGGTCCAGGGTAAGTGATTGTTCTTGATGATGTGTGAAGAGGTGGTATTGTTTGCAATCACCTTGTTGTTGTTCTCATAGTGAATGTAACTGATGTTTTATATTGTGTTGACTGTTTTAGTGGTAATTGGAATAATGAGAAACCATATGAAGTGAAATCACGTGAATTGTGCCCAAAAATGCAGAATATTCCTAAAGATAGTTTTCAAAGGACGCGTGATGATACACTGCGTGCACCATTATCAATAGTGAATGTCAACCACAAGTTGTCATCGATCGGTTCAAGTGAAAGTTTAGTTAACGATCAACCCTCCACAGGTTTACAAAGAACGTTGGATGAGAAAAGCCTTGAAATACTCGAACTGCACAGAAAATACAGACAGGATTTGATTGATTGTAAAGTTGATGGACAACCTCCAGCTAAATATATGTCACCATTGGTAAATCACTCACTATTCAATAATTTCTTCAAATAATATACGTAACGCTTATTTGTAGAAATGGAATTACAATCTGGCTGCACAAGCACAAAAATTGGCGAACAAATGCATCTTGCAACACGACAAACGTCATTCGAATGAATTCTCTTGGGTTGGACAAAATATTGCTCTCTGTCCAACCATTAAGTCGTAAGCTCATTTCTATTCAATTCACTGTTTTCTGATTCAGAGGAGTAGATGCTTGGTTCAATGAGCACAAACTATACGACTACAAAGAAAACAACTGTATGGCATGTTTGCATTACACACAAGTAAGTCCATTCTCATCCACTTCAACATAGTTCAATATACACACAGTCATTTGTCACTCACCATTCACACCTATTATAATGCACCACGAATGTGTGATAACAATCAAGTGGTTTCATTTTTCTACAGGAGTGACTGAAAAACACATGTAAATACACGTAATCCGATCATTACAGTTATGCACACAGGTATCCACAACACTTGATCATATTTGAGTATGTGTGTTTTGTTGAGAGTTGAGGTGATTCGGTGGAAAACAACAGATAGGAAATTTGTCTCTGACCAGCATGTACTAAGACTGACGAGTGCATTCAAATCCTAATCAATGTGTCAACACTAGTGTCAACACTAGTGTGAACACACAAACACAATATTGCAATCTACTCAACAGAAATGAATTGTTTATAGATGGAAGATGACGATGTTGTGTTGGGTGAAATGATTTCGACTGTTGGTTGACATGAGACAGAATGAGTGGGAGAGTGAGAGAGAGTGACTGATTGATTGACTGAATGATTGATTGACTGAATGATTGATTGATTGATTGAGTGATTGGTTGAGTGAGTGGGTGATTGGTTGGGTGAGTGAGTGATTGATTGTTCTGTAGAATTCAACTAGTTATCATAACTGCACCAAGTGTAAACATACTCATTCAACACATACTGGAATTTCCACGTGTATCTCCTTCAGTTGACAACATTATCTCTATCGTCTACATGTAATGTATTTACTCACATCAGGTTGAAGCATGGTGGAAATGCCTTGCAATTGGCCTACCGAACGATCACCTTATTTCCTTGTTCACATTCCGTTTCAGATGGTTTGGGCCAAGACCACAGACATTGGATGTGGAGTTGCGAGTTGTCCAAAGTACGGTCTATCAATCGTGTGTAATTATGGTCCAGGGTAAGTGATTGTTCTTGATGATGTGTGAAGAGGTGGTATTGTTTGCAATCACCTTGTTGTTGTTCTCATAGTGAATGTAACTGATGTTTTATATTGTGTTGACTGTTTTAGTGGTAATTGGAATAATGAGAAACCATATGAAGTGAAATCACGTGAATTGTGCCCAAAAATGCAGAATATTCCTAAAGATAGTTTTCAAAGGACGCGTGATGATACACTGCGTGCACCATTATCAATAGTGAATGTCAACCACAAGTTGTCATCGATCGGTTCAAGTGAAGGTTTAGTTAACGATCAACCCTCCACAGGTTTACAAAGAACGTTGGATGAGAAAAGCCTTGAAATACTCGAACTGCACAGAAAATACAGACAGGATTTGATTGATTGTAAAGTTGATGGACAACCTCCAGCTAAATATATGTCACCATTGGTAAATCACTCACTATTCAATAATTTCTTCAAATAATATACGTAACGCTTATTTGTAGAAATGGAATTACAATCTGGCTGCACAAGCACAAAAATTGGCGAACAAATGCATCTTGCAACACGACAAACGTCATTCGAATGAATTCTCTTGGGTTGGACAAAATATTGCTCTCTGTCCAACCATTAAGTCGTAAGCTCATTTCTATTCAATTCACTGTTTTCTGATTCAGAGGAGTAGATGCTTGGTTCAATGAGCACAAACTATACGACTACAAAGAAAACAACTGTATGGCATGTTTGCATTACACACAAGTAAGTCCATTCTCATCCACTTCAACATAGTTCAATATACACACAGTCATTTGTCACTCACCATTCACACCTATTATAATGCACCACGAATGTGTGATAACAATCAAGTGGTTTCATTTTTCTACAGGAGTGACTGAAAAACACATGTAAATACACGTAATCCGATCATTACAGTTATGCACACAGGTATCCACAACACTTGATCATATTTGAGTATGTGTGTTTTGTTGAGAGTTGAGGTGATTCGGTGGAAAACAACAGATAGGAAATTTGTCTCTGACCAGCATGTACTAAGACTGACGAGTGCATTCAAATCCTAATCAATGTGTCAACACTAGTGTCAACACTAGTGTGAACACACAAACACAATATTGCAATCTACTCAACAGAAATGAATTGTTTATAGATGGAAGATGACGATGTTGTGTTGGGTGAAATGATTTCGACTGTTGGTTGACATGAGACAGAATGAGTGGGAGAGTGAGAGAGAGTGACTGATTGATTGACTGAATGATTGATTGACTGAATGATTGATTGATTGATTGAGTGATTGGTTGAGTGAGTGGGTGATTGGTTGGGTGAGTGAGTGATTGATTGTTCTGTAGAATTCAACTAGTTATCATAACTGCACCAAGTGTAAACATACTCATTCAACACATACTGGAATTTCCACGTGTATCTCCTTCAGTTGACAACATTATCTCTATCGTCTACATGTAATGTATTTACTCACATCAGGTTGAAGCATGGTGGAAATGCCTTGCAATTGGCCTACCGAACGATCACCTTATTTCCTTGTTCACATTCCGTTTCAGATGGTTTGGGCCAAGACCACAGACATTGGATGTGGAGTTGCGAGTTGTCCAAAGTACGGTCTATCAATCGTGTGTAATTATGGTCCAGGGTAAGTGATTGTTCTTGATGATGTGTGAAGAGGTGGTATTGTTTGCAATCACCTTGTTGTTGTTCTCATAGTGAATGTAACTGATGTTTTATATTGTGTTGACTGTTTTAGTGGTAATTGGAATAATGAGAAACCATATGAAGTGAAATCACGTGAATTGTGCCCAAAAATGCAGAATATTCCTAAAGATAGTTTTCAAAGGACGCGTGATGATACACTGCGTGCACCATTATCAATAGTGAATGTCAACCACAAGTTGTCATCGATCGGTTCAAGTGAAGGTTTAGTTAACGATCAACCCTCCACAGGTTTACAAAGAACGTTGGATGAGAAAAGCCTTGAAATACTCGAACTGCACAGAAAATACAGACAGGATTTGATTGATTGTAAAGTTGATGGACAACCTCCAGCTAAATATATGTCACCATTGGTAAATCACTCACTATTCAATAATTTCTTCAAATAATATACGTAACGCTTATTTGTAGAAATGGAATTACAATCTGGCTGCACAAGCACAAAAATTGGCGAACAAATGCATCTTGCAACACGACAAACGTCATTCGAATGAATTCTCTTGGGTTGGACAAAATATTGCTCTCTGTCCAACCATTAAGTCGTAAGCTCATTTCTATTCAATTCACTGTTTTCTGATTCAGAGGAGTAGATGCTTGGTTCAATGAGCACAAACTATACGACTACAAAGAAAACAACTGTATGGCATGTTTGCATTACACACAAGTAAGTCCATTCTCATCCACTTCAACATAGTTCAATATACACACAGTCATTTGTCACTCACCATTCACACCTATTATAATGCACCACGAATGTGTGATAACAATCAAGTGGTTTCATTTTTCTACAGGAGTGACTGAAAAACACATGTAAATACACGTAATCCGATCATTACAGTTATGCACACAGGTATCCACAACACTTGATCATATTTGAGTATGTGTGTTTTGTTGAGAGTTGAGGTGATTCGGTGGAAAACAACAGATAGGAAATTTGTCTCTGACCAGCATGTACTAAGACTGACGAGTGCATTCAAATCCTAATCAATGTGTCAACACTAGTGTCAACACTAGTGTGAACACACAAACACAATATTGCAATCTACTCAACAGAAATGAATTGTTTATAGATGGAAGATGACGATGTTGTGTTGGGTGAAATGATTTCGACTGTTGGTTGACATGAGACAGAATGAGTGGGAGAGTGAGAGAGAGTGACTGATTGATTGACTGAATGATTGATTGACTGAATGATTGATTGATTGATTGAGTGATTGGTTGAGTGAGTGGGTGATTGGTTGGGTGAGTGAGTGATTGATTGTTCTGTAGAATTCAACTAGTTATCATAACTGCACCAAGTGTAAACATACTCATTCAACACATACTGGAATTTCCACGTGTATCTCCTTCAGTTGACAACATTATCTCTATCGTCTACATGTAATGTATTTACTCACATCAGGTTGAAGCATGGTGGAAATGCCTTGCAATTGGCCTACCGAACGATCACCTTATTTCCTTGTTCACATTCCGTTTCAGATGGTTTGGGCCAAGACCACAGACATTGGATGTGGAGTTGCGAGTTGTCCAAAGTACGGTCTATCAATCGTGTGTAATTATGGTCCAGGGTAAGTGATTGTTCTTGATGATGTGTGAAGAGGTGGTATTGTTTGCAATCACCTTGTTGTTGTTCTCATAGTGAATGTAACTGATGTTTTATATTGTGTTGACTGTTTTAGTGGTAATTGGAATAATGAGAAACCATATGAAGTGAAATCACGTGAATTGTGCCCAAAAATGCAGAATATTCCTAAAGATAGTTTTCAAAGGACGCGTGATGATACACTGCGTGCACCATTATCAATAGTGAATGTCAACCACAAGTTGTCATCGATCGGTTCAAGTGAAGGTTTAGTTAACGATCAACCCTCCACAGGTTTACAAAGAACGTTGGATGAGAAAAGCCTTGAAATACTCGAACTGCACAGAAAATACAGACAGGATTTGATTGATTGTAAAGTTGATGGACAACCTCCAGCTAAATATATGTCACCATTGGTAAATCACTCACTATTCAATAATTTCTTCAAATAATATACGTAACGCTTATTTGTAGAAATGGAATTACAATCTGGCTGCACAAGCACAAAAATTGGCGAACAAATGCATCTTGCAACACGACAAACGTCATTCGAATGAATTCTCTTGGGTTGGACAAAATATTGCTCTCTGTCCAACCATTAAGTCGTAAGCTCATTTCTATTCAATTCACTGTTTTCTGATTCAGAGGAGTAGATGCTTGGTTCAATGAGCACAAACTATACGACTACAAAGAAAACAACTGTATGGCATGTTTGCATTACACACAAGTAAGTCCATTCTCATCCACTTCAACATAGTTCAATATACACACAGTCATTTGTCACTCACCATTCACACCTATTATAATGCACCACGAATGTGTGATAACAATCAAGTGGTTTCATTTTTCTACAGGAGTGACTGAAAAACACATGTAAATACACGTAATCCGATCATTACAGTTATGCACACAGGTATCCACAACACTTGATCATATTTGAGTATGTGTGTTTTGTTGAGAGTTGAGGTGATTCGGTGGAAAACAACAGATAGGAAATTTGTCTCTGACCAGCATGTACTAAGACTGACGAGTGCATTCAAATCCTAATCAATGTGTCAACACTAGTGTCAACACTAGTGTGAACACACAAACACAATATTGCAATCTACTCAACAGAAATGAATTGTTTATAGATGGAAGATGACGATGTTGTGTTGGGTGAAATGATTTCGACTGTTGGTTGACATGAGACAGAATGAGTGGGAGAGTGAGAGAGAGTGACTGATTGATTGACTGAATGATTGATTGACTGAATGATTGATTGATTGATTGAGTGATTGGTTGAGTGAGTGGGTGATTGGTTGGGTGAGTGAGTGATTGATTGTTCTGTAGAATTCAACTAGTTATCATAACTGCACCAAGTGTAAACATACTCATTCAACACATACTGGAATTTCCACGTGTATCTCCTTCAGTTGACAACATTATCTCTATCGTCTACATGTAATGTATTTACTCACATCAGGTTGAAGCATGGTGGAAATGCCTTGCAATTGGCCTACCGAACGATCACATTATTTCCTTGTTCACATTCCGTTTCAGATGGTTTGGGCCAAGACCACAGACATTGGATGTGGAGTTGCGAGTTGTCCAAAGTACGGTCTATCAATCGTGTGTAATTATGGTCCAGGGTAAGTGATTGTTCTTGATGATGTGTGAAGAGGTGGTATTGTTTGCAATCACCTTGTTGTTGTTCTCATAGTGAATGTAACTGATGTTTTATATTGTGTTGACTGTTTTAGTGGTAATTGGAATAATGAGAAACCATATGAAGTGAAATCACGTGAATTGTGCCCAAAAATGCAGAATATTCCTAAAGATAGTTTTCAAAGGACGCGTGATGATACACTGCGTGCACCATTATCAATAGTGAATGTCAACCACAAGTTGTCATCGATCGGTTCAAGTGAAGGTTTAGTTAACGATCAACCCTCCACAGGTTTACAAAGAACGTTGGATGAGAAAAGCCTTGAAATACTCGAACTGCACAGAAAATACAGACAGGATTTGATTGATTGTAAAGTTGATGGACAACCTCCAGCTAAATATATGTCACCATTGGTAAATCACTCACTATTCAATAATTTCTTCAAATAATATACGTAACGCTTATTTGTAGAAATGGAATTACAATCTGGCTGCACAAGCACAAAAATTGGCGAACAAATGCATCTTGCAACACGACAAACGTCATTCGAATGAATTCTCTTGGGTTGGACAAAATATTGCTCTCTGTCCAACCATTAAGTCGTAAGCTCATTTCTATTCAATTCACTGTTTTCTGATTCAGAGGAGTAGATGCTTGGTTCAATGAGCACAAACTATACGACTACAAAGAAAACAACTGTATGGCATGTTTGCATTACACACAAGTAAGTCCATTCTCATCCACTTCAACATAGTTCAATATACACACAGTCATTTGTCACTCACCATTCACACCTATTATAATGCACCACGAATGTGTGATAACAATCAAGTGGTTTCATTTTTCTACAGGAGTGACTGAAAAACACATGTAAATACACGTAATCCGATCATTACAGTTATGCACACAGGTATCCACAACACTTGATCATATTTGAGTATGTGTGTTTTGTTGAGAGTTGAGGTGATTCGGTGGAAAACAACAGATAGGAAATTTGTCTCTGACCAGCATGTACTAAGACTGACGAGTGCATTCAAATCCTAATCAATGTGTCAACACTAGTGTCAACACTAGTGTGAACACACAAACACAATATTGCAATCTACTCAACAGAAATGAATTGTTTATAGATGGAAGATGACGATGTTGTGTTGGGTGAAATGATTTCGACTGTTGGTTGACATGAGACAGAATGAGTGGGAGAGTGAGAGAGAGTGACTGATTGATTGACTGAATGATTGATTGACTGAATGATTGATTGATTGATTGAGTGATTGGTTGAGTGAGTGGGTGATTGGTTGGGTGAGTGAGTGATTGATTGTTCTGTAGAATTCAACTAGTTATCATAACTGCACCAAGTGTAAACATACTCATTCAACACATACTGGAATTTCCACGTGTATCTCCTTCAGTTGACAACATTATCTCTATCGTCTACATGTAATGTATTTACTCACATCAGGTTGAAGCATGGTGGAAATGCCTTGCAATTGGCCTACCGAACGATCACATTATTTCCTTGTTCACATTCCGTTTCAGATGGTTTGGGCCAAGACCACAGACATTGGATGTGGAGTTGCGAGTTGTCCAAAGTACGGTCTATCAATCGTGTGTAATTATGGTCCAGGGTAAGTGATTGTTCTTGATGATGTGTGAAGAGGTGGTATTGTTTGCAATCACCTTGTTGTTGTTCTCATAGTGAATGTAACTGATGTTTTATATTGTGTTGACTGTTTTAGTGGTAATTGGAATAATGAGAAACCATATGAAGTGAAATCACGTGAATTGTGCCCAAAAATGCAGAATATTCCTAAAGATAGTTTTCAAAGGACGCGTGATGATACACTGCGTGCACCATTATCAATAGTGAATGTCAACCACAAGTTGTCATCGATCGGTTCAAGTGAAGGTTTAGTTAACGATCAACCCTCCACAGGTTTACAAAGAACGTTGGATGAGAAAAGCCTTGAAATACTCGAACTGCACAGAAAATACAGACAGGATTTGATTGATTGTAAAGTTGATGGACAACCTCCAGCTAAATATATGTCACCATTGGTAAATCACTCACTATTCAATAATTTCTTCAAATAATATACGTAACGCTTATTTGTAGAAATGGAATTACAATCTGGCTGCACAAGCACAAAAATTGGCGAACAAATGCATCTTGCAACACGACAAACGTCATTCGAATGAATTCTCTTGGGTTGGACAAAATATTGCTCTCTGTCCAACCATTAAGTCGTAAGCTCATTTCTATTCAATTCACTGTTTTCTGATTCAGAGGAGTAGATGCTTGGTTCAATGAGCACAAACTATACGACTACAAAGAAAACAACTGTATGGCATGTTTGCATTACACACAAGTAAGTCCATTCTCATCCACTTCAACATAGTTCAATATACACACAGTCATTTGTCACTCACCATTCACACCTATTATAATGCACCACGAATGTGTGATAACAATCAAGTGGTTTCATTTTTCTACAGGAGTGACTGAAAAACACATGTAAATACACGTAATCCGATCATTACAGTTATGCACACAGGTATCCACAACACTTGATCATATTTGAGTATGTGTGTTTTGTTGAGAGTTGAGGTGATTCGGTGGAAAACAACAGATAGGAAATTTGTCTCTGACCAGCATGTACTAAGACTGACGAGTGCATTCAAATCCTAATCAATGTGTCAACACTAGTGTCAACACTAGTGTGAACACACAAACACAATATTGCAATCTACTCAACAGAAATGAATTGTTTATAGATGGAAGATGACGATGTTGTGTTGGGTGAAATGATTTCGACTGTTGGTTGACATGAGACAGAATGAGTGGGAGAGTGAGAGAGAGTGACTGATTGATTGAATGATTGATTGACTGAATGATTGATTGATTGATTGAGTGATTGGTTGAGTGAGTGGGTGATTGGTTGGGTGAGTGAGTGATTGATTGTTCTGTAGAATTCAACTAGTTATCATAACTGCACCAAGTGTAAACATACTCATTCAACACATACTGGAATTTCCACGTGTATCTCCTTCAGTTGACAACATTATCTCTATCGTCTACATGTAATGTATTTACTCACATCAGGTTGAAGCATGGTGGAAATGCCTTGCAATTGGCCTACCGAACGATCACATTATTTCCTTGTTCACATTCCGTTTCAGATGGTTTGGGCCAAGACCACAGACATTGGATGTGGAGTTGCGAGTTGTCCAAAGTACGGTCTATCAATCGTGTGTAATTATGGTCCAGGGTAAGTGATTGTTCTTGATGATGTGTGAAGAGGTGGTATTGTTTGCAATCACCTTGTTGTTGTTCTCATAGTGAATGTAACTGATGTTTTATATTGTGTTGACTGTTTTAGTGGTAATTGGAATAATGAGAAACCATATGAAGTGAAATCACGTGAATTGTGCCCAAAAATGCAGAATATTCCTAAAGATAGTTTTCAAAGGACGCGTGATGATACACTGCGTGCACCATTATCAATAGTGAATGTCAACCACAAGTTGTCATCGATCGGTTCAAGTGAAGGTTTAGTTAACGATCAACCCTCCACAGGTTTACAAAGAACGTTGGATGAGAAAAGCCTTGAAATACTCGAACTGCACAGAAAATACAGACAGGATTTGATTGATTGTAAAGTTGATGGACAACCTCCAGCTAAATATATGTCACCATTGGTAAATCACTCACTATTCAATAATTTCTTCAAATAATATACGTAACGCTTATTTGTAGAAATGGAATTACAATCTGGCTGCACAAGCACAAAAATTGGCGAACAAATGCATCTTGCAACACGACAAACGTCATTCGAATGAATTCTCTTGGGTTGGACAAAATATTGCTCTCTGTCCAACCATTAAGTCGTAAGCTCATTTCTATTCAATTCACTGTTTTCTGATTCAGAGGAGTAGATGCTTGGTTCAATGAGCACAAACTATACGACTACAAAGAAAACAACTGTATGGCATGTTTGCATTACACACAAGTAAGTCCATTCTCATCCACTTCAACATAGTTCAATATACACACAGTCATTTGTCACTCACCATTCACACCTATTATAATGCACCACGAATGTGTGATAACAATCAAGTGGTTTCATTTTTCTACAGGAGTGACTGAAAAACACATGTAAATACACGTAATCCGATCATTACAGTTATGCACACAGGTATCCACAACACTTGATCATATTTGAGTATGTGTGTTTTGTTGAGAGTTGAGGTGATTCGGTGGAAAACAACAGATAGGAAATTTGTCTCTGACCAGCATGTACTAAGACTGACGAGTGCATTCAAATCCTAATCAATGTGTCAACACTAGTGTCAACACTAGTGTGAACACACAAACACAATATTGCAATCTACTCAACAGAAATGAATTGTTTATAGATGGAAGATGACGATGTTGTGTTGGGTGAAATGATTTCGACTGTTGGTTGACATGAGACAGAATGAGTGGGAGAGTGAGAGAGAGTGACTGATTGATTGAATGATTGATTGACTGAATGATTGATTGATTGATTGAGTGATTGGTTGAGTGAGTGGGTGATTGGTTGGGTGAGTGAGTGATTGATTGTTCTGTAGAATTCAACTAGTTATCATAACTGCACCAAGTGTAAACATACTCATTCAACACATACTGGAATTTCCACGTGTATCTCCTTCAGTTGACAACATTATCTCTATCGTCTACATGTAATGTATTTACTCACATCAGGTTGAAGCATGGTGGAAATGCCTTGCAATTGGCCTACCGAACGATCACATTATTTCCTTGTTCACATTCCGTTTCAGATGGTTTGGGCCAAGACCACAGACATTGGATGTGGAGTTGCGAGTTGTCCAAAGTACGGTCTATCAATCGTGTGTAATTATGGTCCAGGGTAAGTGATTGTTCTTGATGATGTGTGAAGAGGTGGTATTGTTTGCAATCACCTTGTTGTTGTTCTCATAGTGAATGTAACTGATGTTTTATATTGTGTTGACTGTTTTAGTGGTAATTGGAATAATGAGAAACCATATGAAGTGAAATCACGTGAATTGTGCCCAAAAATGCAGAATATTCCTAAAGATAGTTTTCAAAGGACGCGTGATGATACACTGCGTGCACCATTATCAATAGTGAATGTCAACCACAAGTTGTCATCGATCCGTTCAAGTGGAAGTAGGGTTCACGACCAACGCAAACACGATCAACCGATTTCTATTAATGCTTTTCAATATAGTCGTAGTAATACACAGCGTAAATGGAGATCCGGAAATAAAGCTTTACAAAAGTTGTAAAAGTTCGTTCTTGGTTGAAGTGTTCTTGGCTATGTACAAGGACAGCATAATGGTAGAATAGTACGATAGTGAAATTGATTGTATTTATTCGGCAAATATAATTGGTGCCTCCATATCTATTTCACGTATCTGTTTTCAACTGTGTTTTCACTTCTGTAACCCAAAACCTTCTCTCAATATATACTCATTACTTACTTCCATTGATATTCAGGACTATTTTGTGTTGATATTACTCAACTATATGTATGTGTGTAGCAATTAGTCATAACTTATAACTTATAATTGAATATATTTCATTCAAATCATATTGTTTTGTGTTCTGTAATTCATGTGGTGAGTGAGAAACGATGTTGGCAAGTGTCATTGGAATGATACATTGAATGAATACGTTCATTATGTGTTGATTATTTCATCTTTGTATGTGTACTGTGTATTGTGTGTTGACTGGAATTCACGTTTATTCAGCTCATCAATGCAATTAGTAACAATAATCCCTTCATTCAATATTAAACATGTAATTCAACAGTAAATCCTTAGCTTACTATATATTTCAACTCAATTCTCCTATTCCCTGTACACAACATCATTATGTCTAGTTTAATGATATTTTCGTTTGAGAAATTATGAATCTTTACAAGGATTAACTACATGATCATGCATAAGTATAGCGTTTCGGTTAAGTCAGTTTTGATAAACTGTTCGTCAGATAGACAACATTCCCCAAAGAGTGGGAAATGTGTATGTTCAGTGAATGATTTGTATCTGATCATATACGACTTACCATTATTTGTTTACAAGATAATGAAATATTTATGCACAAGCATGATTATTACAACGTCTGACAAGTGTCTGGATTACTCTTCTCAGTACAGTGAAATCGCTTCTTCAAAGTTAAGCAGCACAATAGGATACTAGATAACGTACAACGAAAATTATAGTTTGTAAAATTAGGTGTGTAGTAGTATTATCAACAGCACGTGACTTCTTCACATCAACATTCGGTTAAAAGGTTTGATATGAACAAATGATGAGGGGCGTGAAACAGACCAAATGTAGACTACACCATGATAGATGTTATTTGATGTGGTTTTCAATACAGAATATCGGAAATTACGAAGACGTGCCATTGCAATACTGTGTTGATGTGATTTTCATAGAATGAGTTAGAGTGAACAGCTTCACATCTAGAATGATGTATTGTAACACTAATGAACATAGACAATTGTTATGTGTCTAGTAAGAATTCATTCATTTCAAATGAATGAGGAGAGGAAGAATCAGGTTCCAATACAGTTATTTACTTCATTTACTTAACTAAACTGTATTTGTTGATGGAAGATCGAGCAAGCAATCAGGAAATACAAAAGTAAGAGAAATCCTAATTCAAATCATTCACCTTGAACTACTTTTCATTCCCATCCTTCAATCATCACAGTTCTATTTAAGAATGTCAATCGAATTTTGCAATAATTGTTTCATTATTACAGCAAACGTGACATCACACTACTTTTCATTAATAAGTACCATGATTTAAAATAGCAAGTTTCACAACTTGCACATGATAAACGTTAATTCTCGATTACTCCATTGATTCACTGATCATGTTTGTTTTGTTATTCTATCACTATTTGTTTCATTCGTACTTCCATCTTCATTGTCCTACTACAGCTTTTGGATTATTTTGAAGTACATTGTATTTCAGAGAAGCTTTGGTAATCTTTATGAATGAGATGCCTAGTTTGTTTATCATAATGAAACTACTTCCATTGCGTTTATTACTTTCAAAAATGTTCTTTCTTGATCATTTCATCGTCAAATAACAGTGTTAATTTATTAGCTTAGTTGATAAACTCCGCAGTATCATTCAGCTATAGTATTCGGGATTTCTGTATTGAGTGATGGCTGAATTCACTTGGTATTGTTTGCTCAATCATCCCATTGATGTTTAGAACTGTAATTGATCAGTCTCTTATTAGTATATGTGCATATTTTGCGTATTACCTCGATATTGCATTAATTCACAAGCATTATATGCAGAGATTGATGGTGGCTAGAAGTGGAATCGAGGTCAGGCGCTTCATCCTATTTGGAACTTACCAGCTGGATGTATTTGCACCTCAGAGTTGATGTTCACTCTGGGACTCGAAGTGGATAACACGATAACATTTGAAGCGAACGGTGTTGAGTTCCAGCCCCACAGACAACACCAATTCTCACGTGCATGTTCGTCCAGCTGACGAGTCCCAAATAGGAGGAAACGCTAGTCCTGGATTCCATTGCTAACCAATGTCCATATTCGCATATACTGATAGCTGACTACTATTTTAACTATTATTAAATCTGAAAAAATTGAAGAAATGTAAAGATTTTCATCCTGTACATGTGATTGCACTACACTGATTTTGTTTATAATGAACTTAATGAATGAAGATACGTTTGAACGAGTTGAATACGAAATATATTTATTTTAACATATTAAGAACAGTCTTCATGAACTAGAAGATTGTTAACAGATATTTTGAATAACTAGCGCTCTTTATCAAGTTCCATGGACACCGTAGAAACAAGGAGGTATTATTTGTTACATTATATTGATCGAATATTCACCACCTTGTAGTAATCTTAAATATGCTTTTTGAGACTATGAATCCCCGGACTAACATATAATTTTGTAGATACCACTGTTTTCTGTTTATAAACTAAACTTCAAAGTACAGTTTGTTATAAACTGTTTTGCTGATATTTCCTCTTTAGAGCTTGAATGTGGGTGACTTTTGGGGATTATGAAATAGTTGACCAATTAATGTTTACATGTTCAAGTACAAGATGTATCAGTGATTGATTGATTGATTGATGTTATTGGTTTGTGATGGTTCAAATTATGTTATGTTCAATGCAGTAAATGGTCAATCTGATTTGATATATGTACTTTCTGAGAGGATTACTCTGATAATTTCATTAAGTCACAGGGTCTGGGTAAAGTTGTATAGTGGTTTAACATGGTATGAAGTAAGCTCCATTCGTCATGGAACTTTTACAGTTGAATAATCAAATTCTAACCTGACGTACAATTTAGCAAACATCGTGTTGACGTTCTAAACTGAAAGTATTGGGTTTGATTCATAATATGCACAAAAACAGTTACATGTAATAGATGCATATAATTGATCATTGAAACCCGAATAAATCGACACATGAATTCTAAATTTGACTATTACCATCGTCTTTTCCTAATTTGCATGCCTTGTGATGCAGTTTGATGATTTCCGTAATGTATGTCCTATCGACTTCCATCGTCTTTTCCTAATTTCCTCTTCAGTTGGAAGCTGGTTTGTTCTCTCCCACAGTAGGCTTTTGCTGATGGTATCCGAGCCAATGGATTTTGAGTATTTTGGTTGAAGATCTGTTTCAAGCTCCTTACAGTAGAACTTACTGTCTTGACGTTCGTGTTGAAGATTGTGACTTTGTTTGTGGTTGACTCAGCCTGTAGCTCTTGTAGAGTTGGTGCTGGTCGCAAGCCCAGATAAAGGAGGAGTGTTGGTCATGTTCATGGTCATGTATTTCATTTATTATATTCTTTTAAATTTTTAGTTATTATTGTATAAAGTGTGTGATGAAAGCTTAATGGTTAATGTTATTTCTACTAAACTCTGGATTAGCTTTTTCAACTATCAAATGGAATACTTTAAATATTATTGACAATTGCATTGTGCAATGTTGATATCAAAATATGTATGTATTCGTATCAAATGATCATTGGTGAATACTGACAATCGAATAAAGACAGTTATTCCAGTTAATGAAATGAATTTGGTAAAGTGTTCAGTCCGTTCACCTGATATACACTGACACATTATCAATACTAGAATGCTTTAGATTGAATTGTAAAAGGTTATTGTCTGAAATTAAAATCACTTCTTCGAAGTAGTCAGTGTCATAATATTTTCAATGTCTTATGTTATTCTCGATTGTTTTTTAAATATGGATCTAGTTTCTTAATGCATTAAATGTATTTGGAATTTCATAGGAAGCGACAGTCCCTATCAAGATTGCACTTACGTCTTAACGATGAGTGACAACTAGCATAAACAGTAGATCAAGGAGGATATTCCAAGGACTACCTCCAAATATCTATCATCTCTGAATAGTATACGTGATGCTGGGCTACTTAGACTAGTGACCACATAACAATTTGTTTAAGTTTAAATGACTAGACAAATCTAACACTTGTCACTACTCAGTGATCAATCATTTATGAAGTCTGTTTCATTTGAGTAATATATTATGATGTCATTTAACAAGCACTCATCACAACATCGTTTAAGCTGGAAATTCACAAAGTAACAGTATAGAAAACCACATATATACAGGTCATGAGTCAGTTGAAGCTAGAACACCATAGAAAACCTGAATGCAGTGGACGGTCATTTCATCCGATTGTGAGACTGCTCAACAATGAACATCCACGATCCCACCTCACAAGGTTCGAACTCATGGTTTATCGATCTCGTGCGTTAGCGCTTAACCACTACATCATATGTATACACCATATGTATATATGTACATCTAGTATTTCATCATTTTCAATAGTTCATTAACTTATATTGATTCAGAGAATGAAAAATTTTAATTAAAAAAGTAATTAGGACTTATTATATCAACAACAAAATACACAACGTGTTATACATTCAGTTTAGTAGAATGACAAGAGACAAATTAATCCATATAAAAGTTCTTAGCAAAATAATAAATGAGTCTCCATTTTTAAAACAAAAACAAACAAGAAAGACAATTTTTGGTTTATCTTTACCATCATCAGATTAATTAAACTCTCGAATTGAATTTTGAAAAAAGAAAAACAAAGAAACTAAAATTTCATTCATTATGTGGTTATCTACTAATAAGGAATATCGATTCTATTCATTGACATATACCATTGTATCTATGTGGGCGTGTGTGGTGGTGGTGGTGGTAGTGGTGGTGGTGTGTATGTGTGTAGG